GGACATATTTAAAGTGGCAATAATTATTTTTTTTAAAAAGGATAAACAAAAATAGGATATGATTTTTCAAGCCAACAAAAAGAGGACATTTGGGGCCGGCCCGGTGGTGCACTCGGTAGAGTGCGGCGCTTGGGAACGCGGTGGCACTCCCGCTGAGGGTTTGGATCCCATATAGAAACCAGTCCGCTCACTGGTTGAGCGCAGTGCGGGCGCGACACCGAGGGTTGCGATCCCGTTGCCGGTCGCGGTACGGGCGCAGCACCGAGGGTTGCGATCCTGTTACCGGTCACGAAAAAAAAAACAAAAAGGAAAAATAAATAAATAAATAAATAAATAAATAAAAGTCTGACTATATAGAAAAGAACAGAGACTAATGTCATTATAACACCCATGTCACTATTTTTCTTTTTGTTTATTTAATGTTTTATTTTTTTAAAAAAGAAATAAAACAATAAGATAAAGTTGATGTCCCTTTCTTCCTCTTTCCAGTTTCTTTCTCTTCTATTCTTCTCTGGGGAGTTTTCCCTATGTCAGTAATTTGTACATTTCTTTCTTTATTTTTAAGCTTAATTACTTTAAAAAAATAGTTAGCACATACATATGGTACACGAAATTCAAAAGGTTCAAAAGTTAAGTGCTAGTTCTGCTTCAAGCCACCCATTTTCCCTTCCCAGAGGCACCCACCGAAAAAAAAAGACAAAAAGACAAAAAAAAAAAAAAAAGAGGACATTTGATATTAATATCAGAAAAAATAAAATTCGAGGTTAAAATCAATAAGTGGGAAAATAAAGGACAGGTTGTACTGATAAAGATATAATTTGCAATGGAGTATATTTCATCTTTACAAAAATATGAACTGTAGTAGCAAAATATGTATATAATATAAGAAACAGCTCTCAGAATTTGATAGCACAAGTACAGAGAAAGTTAAAAGGATATGCAGATTTTAAATAACATAATCACAAGATTTATAGTTAAACAAAGAGGCACTAGTTTCAAATATGTGTGGAATATTTTCCAAAATTGGAACAATCTGATTTATTGACAATAATAGGAAAGAGAAGGCAATGGAATGATTTCTACTTTGGGCTGAGAGAAAATATCTGTCAATATAGAATTCTGTACCCACTGAAAATATCCTACTCTATAAGAAAGAAGTTCATGAAATAAGACATTTTCAGGTGGCCAAAAACTGAGAGAATTTGTCAAGAGCAGATGTGCACAAAAGGAAATTTTAAGGGTATTCTTCAGATAGAGAGAAAATGACCCCATATGAAAATAAATATGATAACAATAGCAGAGAAGTCAGGAGAGAGGTAAGTGATGATTAAGTATTCAAAGGTTCCAATATAGTCCAGCAAGTGCCAATTAATAATAATCACTAATATTTATTTAGTAGTCACTATTGTCTGGCATTGTTCTGGGCACTTTCACATTATGAATTCATATAACAGCCATGATAACCACATGAGGAAGGCATTTGCAGAGAAAACTGAAGCACAGAGAACTGTAATTTACCTAAATCCACAGAGCTAATAAGTGGCAAAGCCAGGATTTGAACTTAGGCAGACTGACCCCAGAAGTCTGTGCCCTCAACCATGACACAACCCTACTTCTCCAAAGTTAAGAGAATAAATGAATAAATTAATTTCTGAGTTAGATAAAATGAGAAGCCATTTCAAGAAAATAAGTTTTCTTATGGTATGAAGGTATCTGCAGGTAAAAAGGATCTCAAGTACAGGTAAAAAGGCGGCCATTGGGAAAGAAAGGGACACATCCTTTTGGGAGGAAAATATGAAAGAAGAAAGAACAGAGAGGAATTAATGCGGGTAGGGAAACGTTCTCCTGGGAGCTGATGCTGACAAGGTCTTTCCTCTTCACATATTCATGTGTCAGGCCTTTATCCCACAGTAGGGCTGTGGGGGAGCTTCCTGACAATAACTCGATACTGCTATCAGTTGACTCAGTCACTGGGCTATTATCCCCATTGACCTTCCCCATCAGATCAGCCCTCACTCACCTGGGTACCATGGTCCTGTCATATCATTTGCAATCATCCAGGGCTCTTTTCCTTGCTCCAATAAGGAAATGACATCAGGCTTAGAAATGGAAAGCCCTGTTTACAGGAAGAGAAAGGGGGCACGATCATACTGTTTCAAAATTCAAACCCAGTCCCCTGGTCATCAAGGAAGAGAGGCAATTATAAGGAAGAAGGTGTGAGGTTTTCCAAAGGATGGGAAAATGGAGGTGCCCAATGGAACTACTCATTTCTAATTCCACAAAGCACAAAATAATTCTCTTGCGAACAGAGAGCAGATACACAGTCAGACACTTGTAAGTTGCCTGAAAAAGTCATAATGAAAAAANGACAACACCAAGTCAAGGGTTAAGATCCCCTTACCGGTCATCTTTTGAAAAAAAAAAAAAAAAAAAAAAAACATCACCAGTAGTAAGCCATATCAACATCTGGTATGATGCAGAGAAGGACACAACATTGCTTCTGTGCTACTCTTGCCAAAAATGCATAATCTCAATCTAATTGTGAGAAAATCAGACAAACACAAAGTGAGAGATATTCTACAAAATAGTACTCATCAAAAGCATCAAGGTCATGAAAGACAAGGAAACATTAAGGAACAGTTTGGCAGAGGCCAAAAAGACACAATAACTAAATGTAATGTGGGATCTTAGATTGGATCCTGGAACAGAAAAAGGATATTAGGGGAAAACCTGACAAAATTCAAATTAAGATTTATGGTTAGTTAGTATTGTACTAATGTTAATTTTCTGGTTTTGATAACTGTATCATGGTTATGCAAAATGTTAACTTAGTGGAAGCTGAGTGTAGGGTATATATGGGAATTCTCTATAATAATTTTGCAAATTTTCTCTAAGTTTAAAATTACTTCAAAATAAAAATGTTGGGCTCACCAGTTAGCTCAATTGGTTAGAGCACAGTGTTATAACACTAAGGTCAAGGGTTCAAATTCCTCTACTGGCCAGCCATAAAAATAAATAAATTAAATTAAATTAAAAAGTCAACGAACAACAAGGCTTTACCAAAAAGAAAAAAAAGTTCTACTTTTCAGTCTTGAGGTAGGTAGAAAAAGCACCTTTTTAAATTAAAATTTCAAATTAAAGACTATCTTATTACAAAGCAACAGAAAATACAACTTTGAAATTATTTGAGGGAAGAAAGAGTAGTAATAAAACATAGCTGGAAATGAGAACAAGGAATAGAAAATATGAAATTAAACAGCAAGAATAAGAACAGACACATTAATTATAACAAGTGAGAATGAATTCCCTTTTTCAAGTAAAAAAAAATCTCAGATTGATTAAAAAAGAGAACTCTAACAGAATCCTGGTTACGATGGACATATTTAAAGTGGCAATAATTATTTTTTTTAAAAAGGATAAACAAAAATAGGATATGATTTTTCAAGCCAACAAAAAGAGGACATTTGGGGCCGGCCCGGTGGTGCACTCGGTAGAGTGCGGCGCTTGGGAACGCGGTGGCACTCCCGCTGAGGGTTTGGATCCCATATAGAAACCAGTCCGCTCACTGGTTGAGCGCAGTGCGGGCGCGACACCGAGGGTTGCGATCCCGTTGCCGGTCGCGGTACGGGCGCAGCACCGAGGGTTGCGATCCTGTTACCGGTCACGAAAAAAAAAGACAAAAAGACAAAAAAAAAAAAAAAAGAGGACATTTGATATTAATATCAGAAAAAATAAAATTCGAGGTTAAAATCAATAAGTGGGAAAATAAAGGACAGGTTGTACTGATAAAGATATAATTTGCAATGGAGTATATTTCATCTTTACAAAAATATGAACTGTAGTAGCAAAATATGTATATAATATAAGAAACAGCTCTCAGAATTTGATAGCACAAGTACAGAGAAAGTTAAAAGGATATGCAGATTTTAAATAACATAATCACAAGATTTATAGTTAAACAAAGAGGCACTAGTTTCAAATATGTGTGGAATATTTTCCAAAATTGGAACAATCTGATTTATTGACAATAATAGGAAAGAGAAGGCAATGGAATGATTTCTACTTTGGGCTGAGAGAAAATATCTGTCAATATAGAATTCTGTACCCACTGAAAATATCCTACTCTATAAGAAAGAAGTTCATGAAATAAGACATTTTCAGGTGGCCAAAAACTGAGAGAATTTGTCAAGAGCAGATGTGCACAAAAGGAAATTTTAAGGGTATTCTTCAGATAGAGAGAAAATGACCCCATATGAAAATAAATATGATAACAATAGCAGAGAAGTCAGGAGAGAGGTAAGTGATGATTAAGTATTCAAAGGTTCCAATATAGTCCAGCAAGTGCCAATTAATAATAATCACTAATATTTATTTAGTAGTCACTATTGTCTGGCATTGTTCTGGGCACTTTCACATTATGAATTCATATAACAGCCATGATAACCACATGAGGAAGGCATTTGCAGAGAAAACTGAAGCACAGAGAACTGTAATTTACCTAAATCCACAGAGCTAATAAGTGGCAAAGCCAGGATTTGAACTTAGGCAGACTGACCCCAGAAGTCTGTGCCCTCAACCATGACACAACCCTACTTCTCCAAAGTTAAGAGAATAAATGAATAAATTAATTTCTGAGTTAGATAAAATGAGAAGCCATTTCAAGAAAATAAGTTTTCTTATGGTATGAAGGTATCTGCAGGTAAAAAGGATCTCAAGTACAGGTAAAAAGGCGGCCATTGGGAAAGAAAGGGACACATCCTTTTGGGAGGAAAATATGAAAGAAGAAAGAACAGAGAGGAATTAATGCGGGTAGGGAAACGTTCTCCTGGGAGCTGATGCTGACAAGGTCTTTCCTCTTCACATATTCATGTGTCAGGCCTTTATCCCACAGTAGGGCTGTGGGGGAGCTTCCTGACAATAACTCGATACTGCTATCAGTTGACTCAGTCACTGGGCTATTATCCCCATTGACCTTCCCCATCAGATCAGCCCTCACTCACCTGGGTACCATGGTCCTGTCATATCATTTGCAATCATCCAGGGCTCTTTTCCTTGCTCCAATAAGGAAATGACATCAGGCTTAGAAATGGAAAGCCCTGTTTACAGGAAGAGAAAGGGGGCACGATCATACTGTTTCAAAATTCAAACCCAGTCCCCTGGTCATCAAGGAAGAGAGGCAATTATAAGGAAGAAGGTGTGAGGTTTTCCAAAGGATGGGAAAATGGAGGTGCCCAATGGAACTACTCATTTCTAATTCCACAAAGCACAAAATAATTCTCTTGCGAACAGAGAGCAGATACACAGTCAGACACTTGTAAGTTGCCTGAAAAAGTCATAATGAAAAAAACCAGGAATTTCAGAAGGCTAGTCCTGAATCATTTGGAGTAGGTAAGTATGGTGATTATTCTCCATTAACCCTCTCCTTCCCCTCCAGTCCATTCCTCAGTGTTCCTGGCCCTGCTCTGTGCCCCACTCTGCTCCAGACAGCTTACTCGTAAGGATATATTTACCCCTGCCCTATGCTTTCCCATTGAGTTTGGCAGATGGAAACCATCAGCAGAAAGTCAGCGAGGAGGAGGAAAGAGAGTGCAGGACATTTCTTAACCCTCTTCCTCTCTCCGTCCTTTGACCCAGAAGTTCTTTTTTTTTTTTTTTTCCTTTTTGTCTTTTTTACTGACCGGTAACGAGATCGCAACCCTTGGTGTTGCGCCCGCACCGCGCTCAGCCAGTGAGCGGGAACCGGTCTCCACATGGGATCCGAACCCTCGGCGGGAGCGCCACTGTGCTCCCAAGCGGCACACTCTCCAGTGCGCCACCAGGCCGGCCCGACCCAGAAGTTCTTGAGGTAGGTACAGTTGCTGCTAGCTGGGCCCTTTTCTGTGGCTCTAGTTCTCAGTGTCTCTGGTGGCACTGTTTCTCTCTTCATCCCTTCAGGCCAGAGGTGGAAACAGCCTCCCACTGTTGTAGTCTCTGGGTGCCTTGTTTCCTGTCTGGCCCCTTGTGATACAGTATCCTTACCTACTGAGACCAAGTTACCAAAGTTCTCTAAAGTCACATCCCTGTACAAGTCCCTCTGGGCAGGTTCCAGGCACTTCCATTCTTCCTGAGAGAACTCTATGGCCACATCCCTGAACGTCAGCAATCCCTGAAACAATAAACCCATGCATTAGTAGTAATTAAAGGACTTCTGTATTTTTTCACCTTTAATTATGAAAATTTTCAAAATACACAAAAGTACAAAGAATAGCACAAGGGATCTTCAAAAAGTTCATGGAAAGATTCATATTATCTTTCAATGCTATTTTTCCACTATCTTTTTGAAGTACCCTTGTGTAATGACCCCTATGAATCCATCACTCTGCTTCAATAATTAACAAAATTTTGCATATCTCTTTTTATCCCTTTCCTTCCATCTTTTACACCTGGTGTATTTTGAGGCAAATCCCACATATCAAACATCAGAATACCTCATTCATAAATACTTTGGTATCTAACAGATTACAGACTTTTTAAAAAAGCACATAAGCAGAATATCATTATCATACTTAATATAACAATAATTTCCTAATAACTAGATAAGTTCAAATTGCCCCAACTTTCTCAAAAGTGATTTTTTTAACAGCTGATTTATTCAAATCAGGATTCAAACAAGATCCACACATTGCATTTAGTTGATAGGTTTGCTAAAGTCTCTCAAATCTCTAACAGCCCTTAAAAATTTTATTGCCTGGGGCCGGCCCGGTGGCGCACTGGATAGTGCGCCGCTTGGGAAGCGCGGCAGCGCTCCCGCCCGAGGGTTCGGATCACACGCACCCAAAAAAAGCTAGTAGGGAAACTTGCCAGAATTTGAACCCAGATCTGCCAAAACTCCAAAGTCAGACCATAATTGTGTCTCCCAGTGTGTAAATATCTATCAAATACTTTGTGCACATGTGTGAACATGCCAAACTTTGAATGATTTAAGTATAACCTGTATTTTAATACTTAGGACAGCATCATAAAATTAATTTCTAAATGAATATTGAAATTTATCCAGTTTCTATGTTTAGCAATTGGTGTTAATTTACCTCTCATAAGTGCTAGAAAGGTTCTACAATACCTCCTCCAGCCCTTTTATACTATTCAAGCTTTTTATTAGCCCTAATGTTGATTGCCTTCCCAGGGCATCTACTAGTTTGAGTATAATTTGTCTAATTAAATTTAAAGAAGAGATGTTTCAGGGAGCACCATTTCATCATTTCCTCTTAAACTCTATGCTGTGGACTTTAATTTCCCCATACTCTAGATTTGGCTGACTGCATCTTCATGGTATAGTTTAACATGTTGCCCTACTTCCACATTTTCTGTGAAATGATAGATCTGGAGGCCTGATTTCCATTTTTTTTTTTTTTTTTGGAGGGGCATGAATTATGTCAGAGGTGGGCTGTGTACTTCCCATAGCTTCCCATTAGGAGGCACAAGATGACTGGTTGTCCCATTTTTAATGAAGTTAAAATTGATGACTAGACTTCTAGTCAAGGTGGCAGAACAGATGGACCCCAGTGTCACTCTCCCCGACATATCAACTAATTTACAACTATTAAAAAGCAACGACAGCCAAGCTGGGGCCACTAGAGCTCAGGGGAAGAGGAGGAGAGACCTACAGAGTGCATGAAGGTGGGAGAAGCCATGATGACAGAAAGAAACTGCTCCAATTGTTTCGAACCCCAGCTGCTTCCAGGCTGGAGCTGCTGAATGTATGGAGCAGAAACTGGCAAAAAGCCGCAGCTGTGCCCTTTGGATGGTGTTGCTTGGAGGAGGCAGGGGAGAAGACGGCCTTGGTGGCCCCCAGGCCAACAAGACCACTAATAGGGTTCCTGTGGACCCACATAGGATCAAGGAGCCACAACAGCTGAAAAAAAGGAGCCACTCAGAGACTGGTGAGTCATTGCAAGGGACTGGAGCGTGGCCCATCCCACGGGAAGTGTCTGGAGCATGGGCAGTGGGGGAGACGGGCCCACCGGGGTAACACTGGGGCACAGCAAGGACAGCTGATCTGACCCCCAATCAGCATAGGACCACTCAGAGGAGTCTGGTAAGGATATAGAATCGCATGGGGTGCGATTTGATGAAAAGACTCAGGCCCAGGTCAGTGTTTCTACACAACCCAGGTGTACCAGATTTCACTAGACCCAGAAGACCTATAAAATCAACGATTAAAACCTGAGCTGCCAAAAAGCCTTCCCTAGGGAATCAGCAGCAAAGCAGCAATTTAGCTCAACCACAGAGCTCAAGTACTGGTCCCCACAGGAAGTTCCCCCACTTTAGAAGTAAGTAAAGGACAACAAATTAGTTCCAGTGCAGAGTTTAAATGGTGGGAATAGCAAATAATCCAACACAGAACTGAAAAAAAAAAGTACCCACAACCAGAGACAAAGTTTGATATTAACTAGTAAAGGTCTCATTTCACCAAAGAAAACCTATAACACCTAGGACTGGAAGTCCCCTGGGCTACCAATCCAGAAAGGGGGGAGGGCTGGGGACCTCAGCCATGCCACGTGACACTTGCAACCACCTCGAGAGTGGGGGCCTCGGGCCTCAGTCATGCCCCCCC